ACAATCATAGTACTTCTGAAGGTGACATTTTAACCAAGTACATTAAAAAAAGGCCTGTTCCTCTGCCTGCGAGATATTTTCACGCACTTCTCAGTTTGTGAAAGATAGATGTTGAGTAAAGCCTAGTTAAAAGGCGTGTTACAACACTGCTGCATGAGACTTTGCAATATTGGTTCTGTGCATCCTGAAATCCAGCAGTACTAAACGCAAGGCCCTGAGCAACCTAAGCCCTGCAGGAGACTGAGGTAGACAATCTCCACACACCCCTTCCAGCCTAAACTCTTCTGTGATTACATTTTAAATTGCATTTCTGTGTAATATGTTCCTGTCTAGGAATGTATACTGAAGCCAAGTTTGCTGATGGCCGTTTTTAGAGTGGATTACAAAGCACAATTGAGAAACCAGAGAAAGACTTAATTAAATTAGCAAACTGGACATTATGATGACATAATAAATTCAGCACAAACCAGCGTAAGACACTGCATGCCATGTTACACTAATGGATTCGGATATTAAGTCAGTGGGAAAATACAGTATGTGGCCTTTCATGGAAAAGGTCTCTGCCATTGTGAGGAAGACAACGCACACTGCCCCATGCTCTACTGTGATCAAGAAACAAACTACACACAAAGAAATATTTAGTGGATGGAAGCAAATGTTTAGGGTCAACATGAGACAGCTGTAGTAATAATGAACATATTTTCTTTCAGTATTTATTCTATCATCTCATGATGAAATAAAAGAGAATTAAACTCATCATAGCAATGATGAGAAAAGCAGTTGCCACATAATAAGAAATTAAGCCTAATAATTAGTCAGCTAAGTAGTTCCAAAGCAATATAACTGAGGTTTATACACACATGCAGTAGAGGAGAAAAACCTCAGCTTTCAAGGCGTTTTTCTTTTAATAAATAATGATTAGCATAAATTCATTGACACATATATTAGTCAACATTTTTTAAAATAAGCATTTTTAAAGTAAGAAAAGCATCTGTAGGAGAGCTTTCGGGGAGGGGGGGATAGCAATCAATGCTCCTACCTTTTAGCATAAGCTGAATAACATGAAAATATCAACTAGCTTATGTAATTTGTAGCTTTATTATGAGACATTATATATTTGTTCTGATTCTTCTGGTTGTTTTTAATATAGGAGAAAAGAGATTAGACAGGATATGCTACTAGAAAGTCTAACAAAATTGTCTCTCACACTCGCAATCAGTTTTGGAGGTTTTTAATGACTTAGTTACAGCAAATAAACCATGCACTTTATCACATTGCTCACAAACTTTCACTTAATACATGATGTCTCTAATTTGGTGCAGTAATTTGGTGCAGTAATTTGGCTGTACACTTCTATTATTATTATCTTGGATATGGAATGACTTTGCATTTAAACCAATGCTATTTGACATGCTAGATTAAATTTAGACATTCCACATCTAGTACAGTAAAGTCTTTGTAGTACTATCTTTTATAAGGTGCTTATTTACCCATACAGCTATAGGCTCATCCATTACTGTGAACAGAGTTCCAAGAACAAAATAGCAACTGCTCAAATTAACCACTATCGCTGCTAAGCAGCGCACCTCTTCTGAGGCAATAAGCGGATACGCTCCCATTCACATGGGAGAGAAGCTCCCATTCACATCAGTGAGGGAACAGGCACACCAAGAGAGAACTCAGCCATTTGCGATATGGTGGCTCCTGTTAAAACATCCTCCACTGGTCTTCGCCTGCTAGCTTTACAAAAACCTCACAAATTCATCAGATTTATGAGTCCAACCAAAGTTTCAGCTTCAAGAGCTTGACTGCAATGTTAACTGTGCTGCCCCAGTGTCCTACTTCATTTTATTGTCATCTAGAAAATCCAGTGCTCCCAAATAACCAGCAATTTTGAAGGTTGTACACAATAAACTTAAAAAAAAAAAAAAAAGGGGGGGGGGGGGGGGGGGAGGAGAGGTGAAACAGGCTCAACTGTGGAGATTACTGTGAATAGGTCAACAGCATCAATTCAGTGCAGCCGTGCCACAGTATCACTGCTGCTGAGGATGTAGCGTATGAACAGGCTTCATCAATAACCCTCATGAAATTCTTAGGAAAAATAAAAATTGAGGTGTTTTGGTATTACATATTTTCTAAATAAAGCAATAGTCTCAGGAAAACAGCAACTACATACTGTAGCAACAGAACTGCCATATGAATAAATACAATTTACTCAGTTTCTTATGACCAGCAACCCGTTGTTCCCAACCTCCCTCATGACGAAACAACTTGCCACATACCACAGTAACAAGAGAGCTGGCCAAGAGGTAGAATATTTTCACAAGTTTGTGAAACTAGTTTTCTAGCAGAAACTTACTAGTCTGAAAAGCAACACTCTGGAAACTGCACTGGGATTTCATCCTTCCTTCCTTTAAAGATTTTCCATATCAAGTGTGACTAATGTATTCCTGCCCTCTAAACCTAAACCAAGTCCAGCCAGCAAAGCAGTATTCTCCTCTATTTCATACTTCATCAATAACATAAGCTTCCCATATCTGGAGACAAATTCTCATTTCAATGATACCAGCATCTCAACAGTAGGTGCCTTTTCAGCAATATAACTATAATCACTGCTGTTCATACACTGGTATAAACATCTAAGCTCTTAAAAAATAAAAATAAAAAAATTACAGCCTAGCTAACATAATTAGGCCAATAAAACTGTTCTAGTGGCAACAAGGTTAATTCTTAATTTAAAAAATAATAAGAGAGATCCTAATTTGTTCTCTTGTTATGTTCTTAGATTAACACTTGCACAGACCTGACTTCATACAGAATGCTATCCCGAAGACAACAAAACTACATTGAAATTTCTGTCTGGAATTCAGTAAACAACATTTCTGATAATCAAAAAAGAACGGAATTCACCCCTTCAACTGTGCTGTTTTTGCAGTCTCAGTAAAATTTTTAAGAAATGAGAAGTATTTTGCCCGCAGAAGCAGCAATTATAATTGAGTGTGATGAATAATAGCATAATTTCAATCACGACTACTTTTCAGAGTAGAATCACAGTAGAACAGATAACCTACACAGTAGGCAATGACACCCCTGAAAACAACAAATCAAACCAACCAACCAATTGTTCAAAACGCTTGGCTTAGTTTATTCCCAAATACAAACTCTTGTGCCTCAGCATGCATTAGAATATAATTATCGCTACATACACCACGGTATGTTTTGGGAGAGCTGCTGAGGGAAATATGCTATGAAGTCAAACCCATGTAACGGATTTGGGGGGGGAAGGTATAAAAACTTCAAAAAGCATAAAAGCTCCCCATTGTTTTCAATCCTAGTGGTTATAAAGGAGCAAAAGCATTGCCCAATGCAAATAATGCCACTATATCATGTTGCACCTCAGCCCTGACCTGCAGCAACCCTGCTGCTCCAGTTCCCGTGCCTCTGCGTTACAGTCTTTAATCACACGGGAAGAGGTTAAACTAGAGGTATGGGTTTATGAGAAGGACAAACATCCACGCAAGACAAGACTGACACCACCACCCATTTTCAACGACCAACTCCATCTGCCCGAGAGGAGAGAGTAGCACATTTAACTTGTCAACCCTTCAGGTCCCGTTTGTTCTGCCCACGCAGGGCAACCGGCAGCAGTGAAGCCCTGTTTGCAAAGGCACGCTCAGGAACAGCTCATGAGCGCTGGCTGGTGCCTAACGCTGTGTAGGGATATACAGCTGCACTGGGATATACACACACGGCGGTCGGGGTGGGGGGGACGCCTGAAGAGCGAACAATAGTTGCAACATTAAAGCTGATAAATCCGAGTTCCTCATGCTTTTCATACACTTTTTATCTATGTTTAAGTAAATATCAATAATGACACTACAGGAAGCGCAGCAGGGAGAGCACAGGCACAGAAGGAGGCAAAGTACTCAGCTTTCTGCACACATACAAATAAATACCTCTTCCCACCCCCCAACTATGCTACCCAGAAATTTTTGCCAAAACACGTGCCATTTTTGTCTTCAATAAAAATCAGCAAGATGGGAACCCTAGTAAATAGGCCTCATAATATCTGTCCAACCCAGGCTCTCCTCCCTTATGTTTTCATTTAAATCATTAGCACTCATCATACTGAGGTTTTAAAAAAAAAAAATAATATGTCGTTTATGAGCGAGTTTCACTCATATCAGCTCATAATAGCCTTTTTTCCAAATCCACATACCTTTACCATCACATCCAAAACCATCTTTATTAATGCCATCTCTCTATTTTCACTGGGAATATCTCACTCCCCCTCACACGTTTCTTTTTTACCATAAAGCAAGCATCCCTGTCATCCGATTCCCTTGTTCACATGTTTTAAATTTAATCAGAATAACCTGAGGTGTCAATAATCATGTTTGTCTTTCTGACAAGAATCAGAAATGGAAATAAAGCTCATGGTGCATAACAATAATGTAATCTGCAGTGCTAAAGCAACCTCCTCTTTTAGTTGAAAACATATAAAGGAAGTCAGCCTTTTGAAACTAAATTTAATAAGCCAGGCAACTTGATCCAAACACTAAACCATAAATTAGTTAAAAGCCACTAGGAAAGATGCCAGGATCCCCTCTCAAATCATCAGCATCACCTTTCAAAAAATATATTTCAATTAATCGAAATAAAAATGGGAGAGGAAAAAGTGTCACTATTATGTTAGATATTTATTGCCAAAATAATGAATATTTCCCCCTGGTTGCTTAAGACAGTATTACTAAAAGAGTCTTAGAAGCAAAGTTGGAAAGTAATACATAGCCTAGAGTGCCCTCTTTCTTTTCCAAGAGGAGTTTCAGGGAAATATTCTGCTCATGAAGATGGCAGTCAGTTGTTTCTCAGAAAGTCAAATAAAACAGATAACTAGGCTGTATTAAAAAAATCTAAACACGAAAGCAGTTCAGCATAATTTAAGCGATATCCTTACACTTGTGAAGAACGTGATTCTAGCTTAATAAAAATATACTTACAGAGCCATCTGAAATTGTTCAAGCCATTTTTTTTTCAAGTCTTTAGTTTTGCAATAAACTTCTAAACCATTTTGACCTTGGATATGAATGAGGTAGAAGCCGTAAGACCACTGCATAAAAAGATAAGCAATACGAAGGTCATAAGTTATGAAGAAAGGAAAAGGGGGAGAAAAAAAAAAAGAAAAAGAAAAAAACACGTATTTATATGTTCCTTAATTCCCTGATTTTGGGAACAGCAAGACCACATTATTGTGTACACTTAGGAATGACTTGCTCAAACGTTTTCATTACATCAAAATAAACAAAGTTGAAATCCCTAAATATTCACTTCAGCTTACATTTAAAACATAAAACTTCGTAAATAAATTGCATATACATTCTGAACTCCTGCAAAACATTCCAAATTGCTGCTAAAAATATACTTTTTATATGAATTAGCAACAAATATTTACCTTTTTATTTTCTTTATCAGTAGTGGGGTTATTTGTAATTTTGTATTTCTGAAGATCTATTATTTCCTTCATTTCATAATTATCACCTCGCCGTTTGCAAACAATTACAGCTAGATCAAACAAGAAGATATGCCTATGAAAATACAATAGAAAGATGGTTAAAAACACTCCAGAAAGCCAACACCCAAAGTCTTATTTTACACGCCTTTGCCTGTGGCGTTTAAAATTTTGAAGGTGAACAACTACACTACTGAATAACAAAGCAAAAAACACTGAAAGTACTTTTGCTAGAGACTTACTACTTGCAAGGGACTTAAGTGATCTTAGATGATAATGTAATAACTAACTTCCCATGAACCACTTTGCAAATTCACTTGGTAAACAGTGGATAGGCTCTGCGAATGCTCAGCGAAATGGGAAGTACCCTCAAGAACCATTGAGCTGACCTCAAATCTAAAGAGAGAGTTACTTTACAGGCTTCTTAATAGCAAACACCAGAAGTCATGCCATCACCTGTCTTGCCTCGCACGCTTGTCTAACGTAGTTATCCTTATTTCCCCATCACCTTGAGGTCTTCCATACTGTAAGAGGGAATGATTCTGAAACAGAAGTAATATGTATGATTCAATGTAGCAAAAGTGTCAAGACGATGACACATTCAAATGTTAGATCGCTCACTCCTTTCACCCCAAAAAAGGACTTTTCAGGCCTGAAAACAACATCTTTTCCTCACTATCATCTAAACTAAACACAATAAAGAATCGGTCCATTCCATTTTTGTCTTCAAATGGGAGAATTTTTCCCATGACAAACACACCTGAGTCACTGTACAAATACAAACCTTTAACTATGCAAATATATTTAACTACAGAGAGACCCCCAAAATAGCAGAGAATTCTGTACTTAAGTATTTGTGTCATTCTAGACCAAGCAAAGCATATTTACACTTAAATATCACCAAGAGTACTATAACCTCATATGAATTGGGGAAAAAATACATCTATCAATATATTTGATCAAAAGTGATTGAAAAACTGTATAAATGAAAAATATCACGTACCAAATTCTCTATTGATAGTTGAAACTGTCTAATTTCACGGAGCGTTTCATTATCTCTCTTCACTTCATTTACGTATTGAGCCAAGTCCTAGAGCATCAACAGAAAAAGGGAGGGGAAAAAAAAAGAACTTTTCCATAACTGACCACTGTAATACATTATTTTGGCAAATTCATTTCTAATTTTGTCTTTGACTTACCTGCATATTTAGTCTTTTTTTTTAAAAATATTATCTTTAATGTTCAAGAATTACCAATATATATGCCTAAATAAAGAAGAAAAAAAGCCTCTGCATATTTTCAATCATATTCACAACTTTCTTCATCGTATCTATTGAAACACAAATTTAGTAGCAAGAAAGAGGGAAACAACATAATAAATTGTAAAAAAGGCCTGATTTTTTCTTAATTTCTTTAATGTCTTATTTTCAAGATTAAAGATGGAAATGTAATTTATGCAGCACAGTTATGGTCCAAAAAAGCAGTCAACAACATCCAATATCTGAGAATAAGACAGAAGGTAGATAGAGCATATAGCAGAAAACATATGTAAGGCAGCTCAAAAGCAGCACGTAAGGTGTAAACGTCTCACGAGCCTGGGTGCTTATTAGGAGAGAAGAAGCTACTGCCCCAGTAGTAGGATCTTGGTCTTACTGTTGCACAGCAGAGAGAAGCCATTACGCAGCATATTTTAAAAGGGGATTTTAATGGGATATACTACCTGAAGCCGCAGGTTGAGATCATTATTGTCCCCTTTACCAGAACATGTACTGTACACATTTCACGAAAGCCTTTAAAACGCTCTGAACATGCTTGAGTAATAGTGACAATTTGCTGGGGCTTCTCTGTTTATGGCTAGAGATGACGAGTGAGCAGGAGTGGTAATTGGTTAAGGTCAGGGACGCTGAGAGCAGCAGTTGGAAAAGGCATTCTGATCTTCACAACTTGCTTTTACAGTATCCGTTCAATATGGTCACAAATTTGGAGGGTGGGAGAAAGATACATCTTCTTCCCAAGAGGTTTTTTAATCAGAATCTAAGAATAGCAGCAATCATTATGCTAGCTTCCCAAATGAATCCATGCAGGATACACGCACATCAGTCTTAAAAGAGTTAGTGTAGAAATTAAATAACCTCTTTTCTTGCTGCTAAAAGAAATCTGACAGCAAAATCCTTCCTAGAATTTTTTTTCTTGGGGGGCAGTACCACTTTGCTGACAGTTTTTCCAAAGACATTGTGTTTTCCAGCAGACACACAAGGGTTTTTAGAAGCAACGTACTGATGCTGCACAGTTACTTCTACTACACTGGCAGGGACTATTGTAAGAGGATACAGTAAATCAGGAGGGAAACAATGCTGCAACCTTAAGGAGAGATGCTCATACCCCGTTTTTTTTGTGGGTTGCGGGGGTGGAAGGGTGGTTTGGAGAGTTTTTTAATTGGCTGGTTATGTCCTGCCAGCCAGCGCATAACTGCCACAGCCACTCTGGCAAGAGATTTCTTAATTGGTCTTTTCTTTTCAGTCCAACAGCTACTAAAAACAATGAAGCAAGCCAGCAAATGGGAAAGGAAAAGGGGGGCGGGGGGGATAAAAACCAGGGTTATTTCCCTAGCCAATTAGCAGCAGCCAGGATGCACGGCTTGTCACTAGATGGAAGCAATACTGTGCCATCCCATTTCAGGCATCTCTCCGTGGGAGATTATCATGGTGGCTCGCTCTCCATTCACCGCACAAAACCGAGTGACAAAAAAGGGGAGCCAGAAGTCTCATTTGTGAGCTGATCTGTATTCCAGGCATTCAAGGCAGACAGCCACCTAATATGAGACAGCTGTGTGACCCAAAACTAACTTAGTTTGACTTCAGCATCTTCTGTGGATCATACAGACTACAACAGGAGATATGACCTATGCTGTGTTGGCTTCTTTTCCCCTTTCCTCACAAAGGATAGAAAAAATTTCCCAATTCCAGCACATGAACATCACAATTCGTGCCGTGAAGCCAACTGAAGCAGAACTGTGCTTCATTTCTGAAGCTGTGCAGAGGAACACATAATATATTACCTTATACATAAGGCAGTACAGCTATTCTATAAAGCATTTGTTTGTACCATTTGCAGGTGAATGTACAGCGACAGATACCCTACCTCCAGAAAGACCCTACTGCTTTCAAAGGTAAAGCCACAGAGATCATATTAAAATGACAGGAAAAAAAAGTCTTGTAAAGAAAGATAACTGTCTTCATCTCACTGGGAAACTACTGACCTTGATTAGAAATGACTTCCAGTAGCAGAAATATTGCTAAAGTTTGGAAGCGAGACCAACATTATTGAAACACCTATCTATAGGTGTTTCATCTCACTATATGACAGCAAACTGATGTAGAAGTAAACTGAAATAAGGAAGTTCCATTTCATAAACCATTCACTTCAGAAAACTACTGAACTTGTTTCCCAGACTTGAGCAAAGCCTTCAACTATATACTTGCCCTGACACACTCGTAAAGCTCACAGTGACATGTGAGAACGTTTGACCTGCTATGAAGAACATTATCTCCTCCAGGAAATATAGTTCTGAGCTACCATTTTAACTGCCAACAAAGACAGCAATACTTCGTTGCCATGAATACTTACCTTCATTGCATCAAGTGCCAGTTTTAGATTTGCCTTCTCCATGGGATCAGTAGTGTGCTTTACCAGCTCCTGTGGACAGAGCAGTTAAAACTTTTCACCCACTGTCTGTCAATTTATAAATTGAAGTTGTCATTGCTCATCCCCACCCTCCCAAAAAAAGAGAAAAAAGCCAAAACCGGAAAACACAACCCAAGAACTCACATTTTCATCCCCATAGTGAGCAGCCTATAACTGACTGGGGACTACGGCAAACAGATAATTGGCAAGTGTTTAAGAATGATTGCTGTATAGCCTAAACACTGACTTTAGCTGATAATGAACCATCATTAGAAGTTAATTTGGTCCGTGTCTGGCACTTAAAACTTGCCAATCAGATCATTACTGTATGGGCACGCTGGAAGCACAGGTAAACATTTGAGTTCATTTGCACATTACTATACGGTATAAAATCCCCTTCCAAAGCATGCACTTGTCTGCAGAGCGGGATGTATGCTGGCAATAAAATCTCAGCTAAACTGTGCAACTGCTTAAAAGAAGTCCCTGTCTCATTACGCCTAAGATAAAGCTGGCTCAGAAGACATTTGATCTAAATCAAATGTAAATGTTTAAAGAACTTTTTTAGCTGCTTCCCATATGGAAAATAAAGGGGCTTTTTTGGTTTTTACAAAGTGAAAAAGTAACCTCTTGGGAAAACAGGTTATTTCTTCTTTATAATTTGAGAAGAGAATTACACATTTCAGCTAACATAGTAACTTGCTAAAACCCTAGGAAATAAGTATTTATACTTCACCTTACAATTCTAACAATTTACTGGATTTTTTTCTTTCAAAGCCTATAAAATATTTCTTTCTTGTACGACATATACTATAGTGTCACACATTGAGCATAGTGACATATTGTATATCATCTTTTCATAATATACAGGTTGATTATAAAATTATGACTCAGATCTCGTGTAAGTTTTTTTAAAAAGAAGTTGTACCATTCATTTCGTTTTTTCCAATTTTCCATTGATTAAAATATTGATGACTCATTTATAGAAATATTTCAAAAAAATTAATTTTACAGAACATATGTTGCTCTGCAGAGTCAAAATTATGCTTCACATACAACTAGTACATCTTTTTAAAATGACATTTTACAAGCATCAGCAGGGTTGACAGTCTAATATAGTAATATATTTCTTTGCAGCTGAACTAATGAGTCTCCTGGCACAGCTATCAAATTAAATTTATAAGACTCTCCACCCTTATTACAGGACTAACTGCAAAAGCTAACGCTTTGTGGGTTATAACAAGGAGCATTTCAAAATTTATTGTAATTTATGACAGCAAAGAAGCATCTTAAAAGTACGCTGTAAGTATGGTCCACCTTCCTCTTCTGGGGGCTAATGGTTCACATTTCAAAGTACCATGATTATAGTTTGGTACTACTAACCATTTTAAACATGCCAAGAATGAAAGGTGCAGATACTGAGGAAACAATTGTGGTTTATTCTTTTTTTCCCCAGCTATGCTCCAGCTCTGAGGAATGATCTCTGTAAGAAAACCCGCACTTGACTGGATTTTATTTCATAACAAATCAGCCTCAAACCTATGGAAATGTCAATCACCTCCCTTTGATATTAGCTCTCATTCTTACAATCCACTGATGATAAACAATCACAGTTTTGCTCTCAGCCCCCTTAAATTTCAAAAATAAAATACCTGGAGCAGTAGGTGATATTTTAGCACTCTCTGCATTGGAACCACTAAAAGATCCCGCAGTGTAAACTTCCCGTTATTGGCCCTCTTTGAACATTCCTAGTTCAAAGCAGAAGAAAGAATAAGACAAGAGAGTTAGAAAATAAAAATATTCAAGTGATATATATGAAGATTCAGTGATATATGGGCCAAGCAACTATATTAAGCTTGAGGTAAAGAATTTCAACAAAACGAAGGAAAACAGTTGACGTGGCAATAATAGCTAAGCAAAAAGAGACTGGGTATAGACACTTGTTCTTAGGCATTTCAACAGCATAAGAAAGAGTAGAATAAACATCACAAAGACAACAGAAATTAGGCGTTCCCTTGATTAAAAAAAGAAAAAAAAAAGACATTGCCTGTAAGCACAGCAAAGGCAGCAAATATTACACCTATCTTCAAAGAAAGCAAAAGATAATCTTGGAAACTACAGGCCAGTCAGTCTCACTTCAGTGCCTGCAAAAAGGACTTCCAAGTCCTCTTGGAAGCAATTTCTAGGCACATGAAGAAGGTGACTGGGAATATCCCACATGGATTTACCACAGGTAAATCAATGTATGGCCTACTTGACTGCTTTCCACAATGAAATGGCTAGATCTGTGAATGGGTGGGGAGAGTCCACCTGGACTTTTCCAAGGCTTTCAACATCATCTCCCACAGCATCCTGATATCCAGGTTGGGATGTTATGCTCCAGATGCATGAACTACTAGGTGTATGAAAAACTGGCTAGATCATGAGGCTCAAAAAGAGCAGTGGCTAATGTTTCCTACACTACCTGAGGGACAGTTGCAAGCAGAGCTCCTCAGGGGTCTGTCCAGGGACCCCTCCCATTTAATATCTTTAGCAATGATCTGCATGAAAAGGCAGAGGACACTCACGACAAGCCTGCAGACAACACCAGATTGGAGGTGGACTCTTCAGGGCATGTCCAACAGGAACCTCACGTGAAGGCAACAAGGATGAAGGCAAAGTCCTTCACTTGGTATGCACTAACCAGGGACACACTAACCCTGAGGGCTGACCAGCTAGGGAGCAGCTCTGCTGGAAAGGACCCAGGGGTTGTGGCAGACAGCAAGCCCTGGGAGGCTGTGGGACCAGGGCTTGTTCAGCCTAGAGGTCCCTCCCAACCCGAGTGATTCTGCCATTCTGTGTTCTCGGCTGAGATGTCACGATAAGCAGAAGGGTATCACTGATGATCACTTCCCGAAAAAAACCCTAACCCTACTGATGTCAGTGGCAAAACTCCATTCACTTCAGTGCCAGGATGTGTACTGCAACAGCCCACACATTCGTTTGATCAGAGGCTCCAAAAAAAACGAAAAGGAAGAGAAACACATTCATGTATCAGTCCAGCTAGTTTTTCATCATAAAGTTTTTGACTTGGATGAAAGCAGGGCATATTCATAGAAACACGTGGTTTTTTTATATAAGTATGTATATATACAGACATGTTAAAAATACTGATACCTCTAACTTCAATTTAACATCTTCTTTTGTCTTAGAGATGTTGTCTAAGCATGATATCGCTATCTCCACTTGACTGCAGTACTGTCCGTAAATAACCAATCTAAATCAAAGCAAGAGAGAAAGAATAAAAGGAACATTTGCTTATTTAAGAACAATCCTTGATCATTTTTCACAAATACATTGTTAACAATCCTCCTTTCAAAAGGAGCAGTGCCTAAATAAGCAAGGATAGGATTTAGCCACAGACTTCAATGGGCAGCATGAATACAAGGAAGAATATTCAGGAGAATACAATTTTGATCTACCTTCAAAATGCTGTAAAATCATTGCAACGTCCTTTAATATTCACAAGTATATGTTCTGATAAATACAGGACTCATTAAAAAGCAGCGTAACTGCTGTTTAACAGAACAACAGTCTGTAGTATTTACAACACTGTAGATTTCCAAGGTTGTAATGAATAAATTCTGTAACACCGGCTTAACAGGATTAATTACAGCTATCCTTTAAAGAACTTGCAGGTTACCCAAATTGATCCATCTCCAACAGTATCTACCAGGTTATATCCAGTGAGCTCTCAAATCAAAATAATAGTGTATGAAAACTCAAGAAATTTTCAATAGTTGTCAAAGGCAGCAATGCTCCTTGAAGGAGCCTGGTTTTATGACAGGAGTTTCTTGCCCCTGTTTGGAGTGCTTCTTTCTGCTAGTCCCATTGCAAAGAGTGCTGTTTCCTTTCACCTTTTCATATATTTCTTGAGGTGATTCCTTCTGTATGCTTCAAATCCCTTTTTTGGGTGTTCCCATGAGCTTTCCATTGGGGTAATTTCTTTTTCTCTCACCTAATTTTTACCTTTTTTTTTTTTTTTTAATCTTTTTTCCCCACAATTAAAGTGATGATACTGATTGAACACTTACCACTTGTGATTACTTTTAATCACTACATGGTTACGCCACTGAGTCTACCTCCATCTGTTTCCTTTTTGCATAATATAAACTTGAGATTTCTTCTCAGTGTCCTTTGCTTCCCTTTCAAAAGTAGTTCTGAAATGTGTGCTGAAAGATAAGCATTTTCCAGAACAACTTCTTGTCCCCTAATTCCCTCCTACAGCAGCAGAAAGTCTAGCAGCCTGGGAAATAACTATGTCCTGCTCCAACATAAAAGCTGAGACAGAAGGTCTCTGAAGGCAAGACTGTTTATGGGCAGCCTGGGACACCCTGCTCCCTCAGAAAACAACTCTCCGGATGCTGCTGTCCAATTTCTCACAAGCCTGTTATTACTGCAACAATCCTCCTCCTTACCCATCACCCTCAAGCAAATCCAATTAGCTCCCACAGGTCTTTCCCACTCCGGGCCCAGAAGGAACTAATTTTTAACCACAACCCAAGGGTTACTTCAAGGTAGGTCAGCGCTGTAGCCCACAGTACGAGTGTTTCTCAGCTAAGCACCACAGGCATGTAAGTTCATCTATACAGCCCAACAGCTGTTCAGTGCTGGCAGAAAACACAATCTGAAAAGGTGGGTAAAAAAATTGGCAATTAGCCTACAGGGCACGGCATGCTGCCGCAGCTATCCTGTTATCAGCTCGGCTGTTTTCACAGTTTGAAGGTAGAACGTGTTTGCTTTACTGTCACACCTTTGACTGCAGGGTAGGGTAAGACCCTAGTCTCGTCTCTTCTCTTTTGCACCTGCTTTCCCTTCTTTCAAGTTACGACCTCTTCTGTTTTCTTTAACCTGGAATAGCCTTAATAGATATCCTTACCCTATTTTTGCCCCTTCTTCCCCTTTTATAACATTTTATCTGTTAAACAATACAGATACATACTATAAAACACCTGGGATTATTTGCATGAAAAAAATGCTGCGCAAAACAAGTTATTTAAGTTTTGTCCAAAATATAGATGTTACCTGTTTATGTAACAATATTGCCAAAACTGGAGGTAAGAAGAGGGAGGGCTCATACAGCAATTTTGACTTCCAGGATCAAAACACCAAATACTAGCTTAATAAGTATACTGACATCAAACTCAATCCTGTTTCAGAAATATTCATCAAACAAAAACATGGTAAAATACTTTAGCAAATTGAGCACAGATTATCACAATTAGTAAGAGTGCATAAATCTTACCTTTCCTTGTAGTTAATAAAAATTTGATATAGGATCTGATCATTTTTGTTTACAATTGAATCATTGATGTCCTGTGTTAGATTCCTGTGAATTTTCACCAAATCCTTAAAAACAGTAATGAGGAGGGGGAAAGGTTTTTAAAAAAAGAACAACTTAAAGCTTTGAATATAAAAATGAATTATTTCATGTAAGATCCATTAATTTCAATAAATTGGAAAACAGATCATTTGAGAGTAGAACCTAATTTCAAGGTTTGCCATATCTTCCATATAGTGCAACAAGAAAAACTAACTCCAAGAACTACCTATTAGAGACTAATTTATTCTAGCCTGGAACGTGCACTGTTAATTCATGTTCATTTTAATGATAATTTTAAAATTAAGCAAGTCAAGTAAATGCTTTAGTGACAAGATAAAGTAATGATTCATGTCCCTGCGCTGTGAAAAATTAGTTTTGTACATTACATTGGTCAATTAGTGATGTTCTAGTGCTAAGTTAACTGCAATCATAATGAGTTTCCCAATACAGCAGGCAACTAATGGCTGAGAGAAAGACAAGAATATTGCAGAAAGATTTCCTCCCTGAGTATAGTAGCAACTCACCTTACTTGTCCACTATTATACAAAAATCTGTAAGCAACTATAGGAGATTACATCAGCCTTAATACTGTAAGGATATGTCAGAGAATTCACAAGAAATTAAGTCAAAACAGGTTAAAAAGTTTTGAAATCAGGATAACTGTAAGCGGTGTACAGACCACCGCAATGAAAAACAGCGGACTGTTTAAAACAAAAAAAAAGCCATTGAAGATGGTTTAATGCAGTAAATTATATAGTACAAAAATAATACGCAATATTGAGTTGTGAGCTAAGTGAAAACATTTCACTTCACACTGATGAAAAGCAAGAGTACACACAAGGTCAATCATCACATCACAGGTGAGGGAGAAAAAAAAACAACCTTAAAACAGATCAAATTCAGTTGCTAGCAATTGTATGGCCATATCCTCAGAATCTTAAGTTGCAGCAGACAAAGACGTTATTATAGAAATGCTTCCTGACTAATTAATATATTACAGGAGCACGTTTTCTCAGGAGTGCACAGGGACTCAACTAAGCAACATGCCAAAGAACAGCTTAATGCTAAGGGGACAAAATGTCTTTTTGAATTGGAGACAGAAGCTCAAACTCAAATTTTAAATTAAACTGATGTTAACATCATTAGAAGTTAATGAAAGTTCCAACACTTCAGTATCTGTTACATGTACTTCCATCTCTCTTTCC